CGGAGGGAAGCAAGCCGGGCATGGGAGAGGGCGGAACGGCGACGGGAATGGCGGCCGGCGGCCATGGAAGGTGGCCGGAGTTGGCGCGTCCGTTCCCGGCGATTGGGGGCGCCATTCAAGGGGGAATTAAGGGGGAAAGAGAGAGGAGGGAAAGGGGATTAATTCCCCCCAATTAATTTTGGAATCCAACGCTTAAATCGCGCGGATTCGAGGGAGGAACGAAGCTAGGGTTCACGGGAGAGGGAGAGAGGAGGCCGGGCGGGAGGAAGGAGACGACCGGCCTGGCGCGTGGGCCCCACGCGGTCGGGCGCGCGGTCAGGGCACGCGCGGCGCGCGTGCGCACGCGGCTGGCTCGGGCAGGGGGGTGGCTGGGTGGCGCGGCTTGGGCCGGGACGCGGCCCAGGCGGGAGGGGGCAGGGCGGCCTGGGCCGGGCAGGCCGGGAGGGGAGGGAGGAACGGCCCGAGAGAGAGAGGGGAGGGGAAGGGAGAGGGAGAGAAAAAGAGGGAGGGGAGAGGGACTTCGGCCGCGGGCCGAGAGAGAGAGAGAGGACTTTGGGCCAAACTTGGCCCAAAGGGAAAGAGAGGGTTATTTTTAGGTTTTTCTTTTTAATAGACTCTGATAATTGTTTTTGTTGCTTAATAAATATTTCCGGTGCTCTGAAAATTCAAGTAAAATTTGAGGGCTCCTTTTAGACCAAAGAGAATTTAACAAAAATTCTCCAGGCCACATTTGAATTTTTCTTGTACGTATTTTAGTGTTTGCCAATTTCTTTCCGAATTTTAATTAATTCTATTATTCCTTTTAGCGAATGATTTTTAATTTCGGGATGAATTTATCAGGACGTGACAGAAGGTGATGAGCGCGAGTTCCTATTTCTCGCTTAGTGATGCCCCGATCTTGACGGTCTTGTCGGGGTTGGCACTAGAGAGTGGAACGATCTTGATCGCGCCGTCCGGTTTCGGTGTCTTGTTTGTCTTGCTCACTTTCTTGGATGGCGCGGTTGTGGCGGGTGGGCTGGGTGTTTGCTCGACCATGTCGAGGCTCCGCTTGTCGCATTGTAACGCCAGTTTTGCGTTCCCTTGAATAGTGATTGTTCCCTTTGGTCTCGGCATCTTGAGAGCACTTGATACGCGTAGTGAGATGCGACCATGAACTTCGCAAGTGCAGTTCTCCCGATGATGGCGTTATATGCTGTATCGAATTCAACGACATCAAAGGTGATTTGCTCCGTTCGGAAGTTGTTTGCTTGGCCGAAAGTCACAGGCGACGTAATTTTGCCCAATGGTTTGGACGAGGACTGGGGAGTAATTCCATGGAAGGGTTGATCGGTGGGTGTCAACTCACTTCGTGGAATTCCCATCGCGTCCAAAGCACTGGCGAAGAGAAGGTTGATTGAGCTGCCACCGTCGATGAGAACCCGTGCGACCTTGATGTTCCGAATAGTGGGTTCGACCACGATCGGATATCGTCTTGGGATGACGGCTGTCTTGGGATGGTCTTCTTCCAAAAATTCTATCTTCTGTTCAGACCACTTCATCTTGAGTGCAGCCCCCTGCCATGTCAAACAGACTTCACGTTCCACTTTCTTGTATTCTCGCTTTGAGGAGTATGCTGTGGAACCTCTGAAAATGTGTGAAACGTGGAGGTCAGAGTCTGGATATGCTGAGTCCGATTCCTGAGGAGCCGCCTCCGCATCCTTCTCGACCATACGTACTCGCTTGCTTTTTTCAAATGCCATGTGCTTCTCGAGCGACTTTTTGAAAACAAGGCAATCTTCCAAAGAATGTCTGTCCGTCTTGTGTATGGGGCACCATGCTTTCTTTGCGTCGCTACCTTGTGGGTCTGGGCGCTTGGGAGGGTTCACGTATTCTGCTGCGAGAACTTCCGCTTGAGCTTTCCTTTTCCCACTTTTGCGGTTTTTCTTCTTGCTTGACTCAGGTGCGTCCGTGGCTGGTTTCTTCTCTCCCCCGGTCTTCGGCTTATCATTCTTACGTCTTAGGGCATCATCTACATGGGCGCATCGGTCAACAATCTCGAATAATCTCCAAGTAGTTGTGATGCGTCTTGTCGCCAACTCCTGGGTAGTATAGCGATCGCTGACACCGGACTTGAAGGCGCGAATTACAGAAGCGTCGGTGATTTCGGGGATTGTATTTCTGCACTCGTTGAAATGCCGAACATATTCCCTCAAGGATTCACCCGAGTTCTGTGTCAACGCATGTAGGTCGTCTTCGATCGCGTGGCGCTTGTAAGTTCCTTGGAAGTTGGCAACGAACTGCTACCACAGGTCTGCCCACGAAGAGATCGAGTAGGGTGGGAGATGCATCAGCCATGAACGTGCAGAGTCTTTTAACGCGGTTGGCAAATAATTCGCCAATGCGTTGTCGTCTGCTCCGGCAGCGTAGAGTACTGTGGAGTAGACTTGAAGGAACTCTTCTAGGTCGGTGCTCCCATCATACTTCTCTATTGCTCCGGGTCGGAATCTCTCAGGCCATCGGACATCACGTAGGGAACGACTGAAAGCTCTACACCTAGCGCTGGGGGCGGTGGGTTGTCGGCGATCATGTGTCCTTCGTGGATGTCTGTCTGATGATGAGGATAAAGAAGAAGACGACGATGACGATGGATCGCTTGGTTCCGGTGTAGGATTACGAGGACGTCGGCTAGGTTCTCGAGAATCTTGTCGTCGTCCTCCGTTGTTATCCCGGCGCCGATCTCTGTCGTCCTCGTCATTGTGGCGGTGTCCTCGACCAGTGTCACCCTGCGTGCACCTCTCGCGATCATCGTGATCGTGGCGATCGTGGCGATTAACACGGTCTCGGTCTTCGCTCGAGCGGCCGTCCCGTCTTTCATTATCACGATGTCGTGAAGAGACGCGATGCCGGGAGCGATCCCCGTTGACTCGTGTGCGTCGTGCCTCTCGGCGGCTATTGAGGTGGTCGCAGAGATCGCCGGTGCCGCGAGGTGGAGGGGTAGCTCGATGGGGTGACTACCGCTATTCGGGATTTTCGCCATTGGCACCGCCAGTTGGTGGTTGTTCCGGATGCGCTACACCAGCGGCTTCTTCGAACGTGTTGCTGAGATTGGTTACTGATTCCTGTAGCCGTTCTGTCCACTGTGCCAGATCATCGTTTAGAACGGGATCGTAAGGGGTCTCCCTCAGTATTGCGTTGATGGTCCTGATGTGCTAGGCCGGTGTAGCCACTTGATTTTGTGCTTCCGCATTAGCGTGTGCTGACATGCTGGTCCTGTCGATAGCTAACACCTCACGCGGCGTACTCGCTGGCGATGAGCCATAGTCCTCGAGTAGATGCAGGACTGATGGTTCGGGTGAACTGATGTCGATTACACCAACGAATCGATCTGAAACCAGCGTCGTTCCTTGTTACTTGTCTTCATCTCTAAGGGATATGCCTGACTGCGGGCCCTTAGGAGATGACGTCTTCGTGGCGCTGAGAAAGACCTTGCAGCTTGAGAGGTCGTGATTCTTTGTCTTGTGAATAGGACAATAGACATCACGGGTTGGAGAAATATGCTGAATTCCACGCTATTTGCAGGCACGAATTTCGGCGCGGGCGTTGAGAAAAACCCAGCAGGCTTGCAAAGTGTGTTTCCTGGTTTTGTGGATGGGACACCAGGACCTTGTCGCTTCGGAAGTTATTCTCGTCGGCTCGTGGCTCTTATCTGAATGACAAGGTTTGGCCGCATTAGAATCCTTCTCGAGCTCGGATGTCGTCGATGTTCCGTTCTCCGCTTCGGCGGGAGGATCCTTCGACATGGAGTCGTCCTGGGTTGTAGCCACTGCGTTCTCATTTCCGGTCATTGATGGGCCGGCTGAGATCGGCATCGTGGTGTAAACCGGGAAGACGATTTCGCCGACTTGAGTCCACACCAGCATTGTTGAAGCAGGAAATCCCTGGTGGAGGTTGGTGTTGACGCTGTTGTCGACAAAGCTGGATGACATAGTAGTAGAACCTTGAGCCCCAAATCCCGCTACCTGGCGCGCCACTGTCGACGGGTGATACCCGTAGACCGGATATAGAGAGTATTGGGGTACGTTGGTATAAGGATCTACGTAATACGACATCAAACAAACAGAAGACGAAGATTATACTGGTTCAGGCCCCTTGATAGGTAATAGCCCTAATCTAGTTGGTATGGGATTATATGATGTGAATCACAGGTTACAAAGGGAACGATGGAACTCGATGGATCCGGCGAGATCGTAATCGAGTTGGTTCGACTAGATCTCCGGCGATTTGGCTCCTGTAGGCTTCGACTTCGCAGGCTGTGGGGGTTGTGTTGGCTCTGAGATTCGATCCCTTAGGTCCTCCTAGGGGGTCCCTTTTATATCGCAGGTCGGGCGGTTTCTGAGTAGAACTCGGAGACATCGGACCCTACATGATACATTGACAACCCAGTCTTGTCTGAGTAGGATTCTTTCCCTCTGTAAACTCCGTGAAGGATTTCCTTAGTGTATGCAGAGAGTATCCGTATACGCGCAGGTATGCCATACCAATAGTGACGTATATTGAAGAGTAAATGGTATACCTAACCCGTAACCCTGACAATGAATTATTGATGTAATACTCCATGAGCGTGTGATAATGAATTATACATTAAAATTATGTTACAGGCTAGGCTTCAGGAGAATGGCTACATTGATGCGGGACCCATGTTTGAAGGCAAGACAACTTCACCCATTAGAGTAGCATTTGTGTTTAACTTTAATGGTGCTATTCCATTAATGGCTAGAAGTGGTGGTATGTTTACAATATTTAGAATGGATTTTTAGAAATATATGAGAAATGAAACCTAAACCTAAGTAGTGAATAATTTAGTGTATTAATGATGTATTAGGTTTAATTTTTTGTGAGAGCGGGCGGGCGGGGGTGAGTGTAGCAATATTGGTAGGACTAGGAGCAAGGCTGTGGGGTGTGTCAGTGTGTGTGTGTGTGTGTGTCAGAAGGGGTGCCGTGCGTGCTGTGTTGGTGCCGAGCACGACTGTGAGGAGTCTGATGGGGTTGGACTTGGACTTTTCCACCCTTCTTTTCCTTCCCTTTCCTCTCCCCTTTGCTTTGCTAGCTAGCAGCAATGGCGCGTCGCGACAGATAACCCCACCGATACCGATGGACGCGGCCCTCGCCTCCCGCCGCCACCGCCTCCTCCTTGCCGCCGCTGCCGCCGCTGCCGGCGGCTACGGCCTCTACCGCCTCTACCGCCACCATCGCCGCCGCGTTGCTGCCGTCCTCTCCCTCGCCGACGCCGTCTCCCAGGTCGGTTCCGACCTCGCCGATTTCCTCCGCTCTGATTCCGATCACGTCCCCCGAACCCTCCTCCAGCTCTCCAAGCTCGCCGCCTCCGACCCCATCTCCTCCGCTGCCTCCTCCCTTTCCCACTCCCTCGCCTCCGGCCTCCTCCGCGCCCTCTCCGACTCCACCTCCACCTCGACCACGACCACACCCGCACAAATCGGCCTCACCGATCGGATCTTGGACCGCCTGCTCTCCCCCGCCGGCACCGGCTTCGCCTCCGCCGTCGTCGGCAGCTTCGCCAGGAACCTCGTCTTGTCCTACCACGCCGCCGCCGCCCCTCGGCCCCCCAGCGCCCACCCGCTCCCGGATTGGCTCTGCAGCGACAGGGGCAAGGACGCCGCGGCCGACCTTGTCCGGGTCTTCGTTAGCACCGCCGTCGCGGCCTACCTCGACCGGACCGCCTCCGTGCCGCGTACCTCTCACCAGCTGCTCGCGGCATTCACCGACCCCAAGCACGAGGCCAAGCTCAAGGACCTGCTCGTCTCCGTCTGCAATGGCGCCGTGGAGACCTTGGTGAGGACAAGGAGGCAGGTTGCGGTTGCTCCACCTCCAACTCCAATTGTGGTGGTCAGTGAGGCGCAGAGTCCTCATGGATGCGTCATGGACACGGTGTCCAGCACTCTTGCCGTGCCCAGCAACCGCAGGTTTGTGCTGGATATCACTGGCAGAGTCACCGCCGAGACCGTCCGCTCCTTGCTCGATTTCCTGGCGCAGCGGGTCTCCGATGGAGCCAGGAAGAGCATTGCCACCGCCCGCAACGAGGGGTTCCTCGCCATCAAGCACATCACCTCCAAGTCCATGGCCATCTTCACCATATGCTTCGCCTTGTGCATGCACATTTCCATGGGAACAAGGTTCCTCTTGCCGCCATAGCTCACTGCTATTGGAATTCCAGGTGACAGCTTGTCCCCCATCTTCATTAGTTGCACACTAAATTATTACTACTATATCTGTAGATTGCAAATTGATCCTATACCACTAGTAGTTATTATTACAAGCTTGGCGCCTCATTGTCATATTACCATGTCTTTGGGGTGTTGGCTGAAAGCATCAAGGTTCCATCAACAACTAGACTGGAATTTTCAGATGGTGGTTGTTTTGTTTGTGGCTTGATTGATTGACACGAGGTATATGATGGCTAAATTAAATCATACTGGCCGAATTGGCAATTTTAGTGTATGATAATTTTGATACGGGTAGTGATTGATGCTGTTTTATGCTTGCCAATTTTAGTGTAAAGTGGCCTAGTTTTTGTCAATAGCTTCTTGTTGCTGATGCTCTTCAGCTGTCTTTCCATGCATGTAATCCATAGAGCTTGTCTGCTTTTTTTTTGTTTGGTATTCACTCTTTCTTCTGACTTGTAACAAAGGGAACGGGAAGTTGTGAGATAAAAATAAAATGCCTTGTTTTGTGAATGTAGTGGCATTTCTATACATCTTTGTGTGTATTAATCTTGCAGTTTGTATATGATCTGTCTCCTGGCCATTATCTTTTGGAACTACTTCAACTTGAAATGATTTATGTAGAGGTGCAAACAACTATAGGGCTGGTTTATTTTATTTGCTAAACCGTTGCCACTGCGCTGCAAATAGTAATTGTTTACAAGGATTGGATTGTAGCTATGGAAAAGCTATTGATAATCCGTGTTTGGAATATTGTTTATCTACCTCACTTGAGCTTTGTAATACATGTAAAATTATGTACACGGAATTTCACTGACAATCTAACACTTGCAAAAAGTGGACATGTGTAGTGCAGTGGCAACGTTTTACTACCAAATACTTCCTCCGTTTCACAATGTAAGTCATTCTAGCATTTCTCACATTCATATTGATGCTAGAATGACTTACATTGTGAAATGGAGGTAGTACTAAAGTTTTTTGTCTTCTTATTTATGTGGGTTATTTCAGTCCGTGATTGCTCCCTTTCCTAGATCAGAGTAATGTTGGCCATAAATACATTTGAATTTTATGATAATTAAGCATTTATTGAACCTCTGGCATATATATGAGTAGTAGATGACAACATATATATATATATATATATATATATATATATATATATATATATATATATATATATATATATTAAATTATTTTATCTACGAATGTAAGAAAAAGTCAATGTACAGAAGACGGTTGAAGCATATATAACCACTTTTGATGTAAGCAATAGAAAAATGTATTTAACACATTTGGCTTTAGCTCCTTCGCATAAAGCCATAAAGCGCAAATGAAAGGGAAGTGGAATTAAACGGGTCAAAATTAAAGATGACCTCCCTAGTTTATAGGATAAAGAGACAAAAATGTGATGGTGCGTTCGAGACAAAAAGAAAGTGTGATGGTTGAGGCATATATAGCCACGTTATTTTAATAGAAAATTGTTTTACACCTTTGGCAAATAGACTACACCTTGGTGCACACGGCCATAAATTGCTCGCTATATATAATGAAATGTTGGTCCAATTGAAAGGCAGATCAGATAATAGGGCTGGGCTTTTTGAGTATAGAATTCCTATGATTTCATCGCTTCCTGCGCAACAAGTAATACTCTGTTTTGAATGAGATCGTGTCCGGTTCTGTTTTCATGATTCACTAGCCACATGGTCGTGCATGGCACGACTTTGGATGTCCGTATAATGATTATGAGACTAATTTGAATTTGATTTTTTTTGTTTTTGCAAAATCATAGGATTTGATACCCTTTTGCTTTTGGTTTCACAACAATGTTTCTTCTACTGTATCTGCTCGAGAAATGAGAATAATTACTCAGCAGTTTGATACATAACGCTTATATCTATTACAGTTCCAGGAGTATTTTTATCAAATAATTACTCAGCAAGATGTATTAACCAATCCATACCCAAAATCATGTCATAACTGCCCAGATTCAAGACTTTAAAATTGGTACAGAAACCCATCCTTGAGTCATCCATTCACAGTTTGGCATTGCTGCAATACATGTCAGAACAGTGCCATTTGCCACCTTCGCCTGAGTTTTTGATGCGAAGGGCGTTCACAATGCGCATAGCTGGCATTCAGCCTCACCCAGCCCTAGCCAACATTCCCCTCCACGTCGGACGCTACCGTGACCAACTGAAGAACGCTGAGCCTAAATGGGACACTCGTTCTTTGTCAGATTTGTCAGGGAATCGCTAGGGATTCGTCTACTCCCGTGTGAGGCAACAACCAGGAGAGGAGGGCCGCTGCCCGTCGTCGTTGCGCAGAACAGCAGGCGTCGGTGAGGAGAGGGGATAGGGATTTGGCGCCGGCGAGCTGAAGTGAAGAAGATCCATCTGGCGAGCCCAGGCTAGATCTCGTCGCCCCGCTACCACTCCACTTGGCGCCCTCGCCGCTGCTCCGCCTGGCTCCATCACCGCTCGGGCCGCCACTGCTCCACCCAGCGCCGTCGCCGCTGCTCTGTCTCCGCTTACTCCGACGCCGTCGCCGTCTCCGCGCGGCTCCATCGCCGCTCCCCCCGCCTCCGTCCCCTCTTGGGCCACCGTTCCGCCCGCCTCCGTTGCCACTTCGGGCGGCGCCGTCGCCGCTCGGGCTGCCGCTCTGCCCGGCACCCTCGCCTCATCGCCCGATATTCTTCGGTGGGGAAAGGGAGAGAGGGGGTCCAGGAAAAAAGTGAAAAGGTGTAACATTGGTAGGACCCACTATAAGCAATTTGCACTTTGGAACATGTAGCTAACATAGTTTTTGGTCTATGTGGAACATGAGGTCCAGCAAAATTGCGTGACGCATTGAGATAGTCTGAGCAACCTGAGAGCTAAGGAAACCAGCTGTACTGCCAGAATCAACAAGGATCAGCACCTCTCTACCTTGAATAAATCCTAACAGACGCATACAGCCCATAGTTTCAGACCCATGCATTGACTGAACTGAAATAGCCATTAAGCCCTGACTGTCAGATCCTTCACATTCTTCAGTAAATTCCTGATCATACAAAATTTCAGAACCCAGGGTGGTAAGTAATTCCTGAACAGCATGCAACTGAACAGTATTAGCATATTTGTGAGTAGGAGACCATTTCTCAGCACAAATATAACATAAACCATGAGCTCTGCGTTGAGCCTTTAGCGCAGAAATCTTATCAGTACCGTTCACCAACTTACCGTTGTCAAGAGTCTTGCGATCTTCCATTCGAGACACACTGCCAGTAGTCACCCCACGATTTGGTGGTAAGGGCAAAGGTAAAGCACCCTTGTAAGCAAGATTTGGTCGAATCTGCAACCCATTGTCAATCTTCTTCGGATTTGAAACTGACACTGCAGAGGATTCCAAAATAACCTCCTCTTGCAAAGAAGCAATTGCCAATGCTGTCTCCAAATCCTTTAGCCGATGCAGAAGAAATGCATTCCTGATCTTCCAACGCAATCCCGCAGTAAAACGATGTGTCAGGTGTCTCATATTCAAAACTAGATCATAGGCTAAGAGTTAATTCATTAACTCATCAAATTTTTTATAGTACTCCCAAACTGAACCCATTTGTTTAATGTTATCCATTTGCCTAATAAGAGTCTGTTGTTGATCTCTATCAAATTTGTTGGACAACGCCACTCAAAAATTTTCCCAAACCGGAAACCTAACATGAGCCTTTGATGATCTTAACCACGATGCTGCCCTGTCCGAAAAATAGATGGTTGCTATCCTAACCCATAATCCAGGAAAAGTGTTGTTCACATCAAAATAGTGCTCACTTCTCATCTTCGAACCTAAAGGATCAGTTCCATCAAACTTAGAAAAATCCTGCTTGGGAACCCTATGATTATACTGACGGCCACCAAATTCCTCACCAATTTCTCCACACCCAAATTCAGATTGCTCGAAATTATTAGAGGATTGGTAGGGAAATCATACTCTTGACCGGAGTCGGGATCAGGGTGGTAACCATCCCCGAAACCCTTCCCCGGTGATCTGTTGCATCGCAGCGGCCATGAGGCCATTTGTCCCCTCCTCCTAGCACAGCCACATGTGGCGTAGGCGGCGTAGGGAGTAGCGGAGCCTTCCTCTCCTCGTCCATCAACGGAACTCGAGTTGGGGAAGGATTCGCCGCAGACGAACTTGAAGCCTTGTTCATGAGCTCCATTTGTTGACGCAGATCGAACACTTCCTCGCGCAGCTCCTACACTGCAGTCTCCACTTGAGGTCACCAATTCGTCATGCCTTGATCCAACTTTGCCACCGCAGCTTGGGTTTCACCTTGCTTGAGATTCAGCACCACCAGTGACTCCTGGATCTCTTCCAAAACCTTGCCGAAGTCGATACTCTGCTTCTCCATCACCTCCACTTTCAACTGCAGCCGTGATGTGTAGCGTGGCCTCTCCAGGATGAAGCTCTGATACCAAATGTACCACGACTAATTCGCGCTAGCGAAGAGAGAAGAAATGGATCTAGGCTTGAGAAAGGAGAACAGAGAGAAGAGAGAAGAAATGGATCTAGGCTTGAGAAAGAAGGAAGAACAGAGATAGAACAGCGAAGAGATTGAATTAGATTTGAGTTGTTCGTAATAATACATCGTTCAATCCTTTCTCTAACCACAGACCAACAGCCTCTACTACTACTTTCTCTAACCATAGACCAACAGCCTCTACTACTACTAGGTCGTGCGCACCCGAGAAGAATTTTCTGGTCGGTCACCCATCCCGAAATTGCTGCAGACCAAGCACGCTTCGCACCCGAGAAGAATTTTCTGGTCGGTCACCCATCCCGAAATTGCTGCACGCACCCGAGAAGAATTTTCTGGTCGGTCACCCATCCCGAAATTGCTGCAGACCAAGCACGCTTCGCACCCGAGAAGAATTTTCTGGTCGGTCACCCATCCCGAAATTGCTGCAGACCAAGCACGCTTAATCTCAGAGTTCTTTCGAGATCGGCTTCCAAAAAAGAAATTGTAACTTGTTGATATGAATATTCTATTAATCCTATTAAGCTCTGGGCCAAGATGTCACACGCCGTGACACAATGGAGGTGGCCAAATTCCTCAACGTTTTAGGTACTACATTTCTTCCATATAATGCGATGATTGCAATACTGTTAAGAAGAGAAACTTTGATGTTGAGCGATTGGAGTCTGAGGCCTCTATGGAGTCAAATTCAATCAGGCATCCCAAAAAATTTCATGTAGGTTAAATGGATATCAAGAGAAATCAATAGGACAGCTGGGAAATTGGCCAACGACGTTAAAGCTCATCAGCTTCCTATTCCTCAAAACATTTCCCATCTTGCTTATCCCAGCAGATATTGTCATACATGCTACTCCCTCCGTCCTATAATATTTGAGATTTTGAGTTTTTGCTTGTACTGTTTGACCACTCGTCTTATTCAAAAAATTTTAGATTTATTATTTTTTTGACATACTTTATTATCCAAAGTACTTTAAGCACAATTTTTCATTTTTTATATTTGCACAAATCTTTTAAATAAGACGAGTGGTCAAACAGCGCAAGCAAAAACTTAAAATCCCTTATATTATAGGACGGAGGGAGTAGTTGTCTAAAAACATCACTTCAGTTCAAGGAACTGTATGGACAACCATGCACTTTGTTTCTAATTTGGAATGAAGTCTTAGGTCTAAAAGAAAGATAATCTTGAATGTAAATTTGTTCAAAGTCAACGTTGAACCTGGTACCTCATGCGATGGCACGTGTCCAGATATCGCACATCAATAAGGTTCAAGGAGCCGAATACACGACATGGGCCATGAGGTCCTGCCATCTAGTTTAACATCACACATGACATGACACCACAAAAAGGTTTAATTTGGTGGTCACATGATGCATATATTCGGCGACCTTCCTTCTTAGTATTCCCTCTATTTCTAAATATTTAAATATTTAACACAGTTAATTTTTTAAATATATTTAACCATTCGTTTTATTAAAAAAATAACTATTAATTCTTTTCCTATCATTTGATTCATTGTTAAATATACTTATATGTATATATATAATTTTACATATTTTACAAAAATTTTTGAATAAGATAAACGGTCAAACATGTGCTAAAAAGTCAACAATGTCAAATATTTAGAAACGGAGGGAGTATAAGGAAAATTGTCCGCAAAACACACATGCATTCATCACTAACCCTCCCAAATCTCAGAGAAACATGAACCGCATAACAGTTTGCAGAAACATGATTATCAACAGCTACATGCCAATAAGCACCTGCACAAAGAAAAACAACATGACTAATTAAACATAATGAAAGGTGGAGCACGAACAAGTGTGAATTAGAGAATCCCTAAGCCCTACCAAACAACTTGACAGTATAATCTATTATTGAGTTATTATATAGGAGTATATGCTAAACTTCTAACAAAAGAAAAACAAAAAGGTCACAACATACCTTTTCACTCATGCATTCTTTAGCACTTTAGTGAGCATTTTGAATGCAGCAGTACTGTACCTTCTCGATTGAAGGGTACCTGTCAGTTGCTGAATTCCTCCCAAGAAACCTTTATGAGTAGAAATCGAAGACAATTTGCTCATTGAAATATGGACCGCTCCAAAATTTCCCACAGGCACGTCATCTGCTGCATTGCCCGACAAAACTGATCTCCAGCAGGGAAAAAATTTCTTCTCGTGTATGTTGGATCCCATCCTCTAAGTGCTTTTTTACTCACAGCCTGACCCATAATTCAATGAAGATTAGGTGTTGTGAAACCCAAAAACATTAATTTCCAGCTTGATCGACCAGAGAAATAGTATACTTAAGCAACACACAAATTTTTTTCTGGTAACATTTGAGTGAAAAGTTAACAAGTAAATGAAGAAAATAACAGATATATATATACTCCATCCGTTTCATATTATAAGCCATTTGACTTTTTTTCTAGTCAAGTTTGACCAAGTTAATTTATAGAAAAATATATTAGTATTTTCAACAAAAACAAACATATTATCATAATATATTTAATGCTACATTTTATTAAACTAGTTTGGTATTTTAGATGTTGCTACATTTTTCTATAAGCTTGGTCAAACTTGACTAGGAGAAAAGTTAAACGACTTAAGAATATGAAACGGAGGGAGTTGCATCTTTATTTATTACAATTCAACTGCAATGTCACTAATCATACTGAATTCCTTCATTCTAACATCTTATATAGGTTATGATCAAACGTATAAAGAAGCTATCGCAAGACCGCACGCACAGAAAAACACATGATCCATAGCTGATCAATTATTTTCAGAATTGTCGACAGTTCGATAACCTAGGATGATGCACTGCTGAAAAACTGCCGAGCAAGCCTTACCAGGGAAATAGGTGTCAGACATGAGAAACACCATCTACTTTTATAGACATCCCAATTTCAAGATAATGATATGGTACTCTGGCATATACATCCAATAGGATAGCAACTAAGGGCAAAGTACTATATGATACTTGATGTGTTGCCCTAAAAATGCCACATAGAATTGGATGATGAGGCGGAAGAAATAAATGAGGAAAGAAAAAGTGAGCTACCCCTTATGCAAGGGGTAACCTCCACACAAACCCCATGAAAAAGAAAATGAAAGAAAGAGGGAATTGGATAAACAAATAAATTAAAATTATTTGGGATAGTATGCTAGAAATAGTGTAGATGTGGTGTATTATATGCATCACCTTTTATCTTGCATAAATAAAATTAGATGTGATAATTACCCCTCTATAAAACTTGCCCTAACAGCAAACATAATGTGGAACCTAAGGAACTAATCATTATCTGCTGCTCCCTGCATGCTACGGTACAACGTGGTATCCCACGCACTGTTGCAGAATAAATTAACAAGAGACTATGGAAAACTAAAAAAGCGAATATATATAAAAACTCATTGGTAAGACGTTTGTGCAACTGCCTTGGTTGCATCTATATGCCCTAATGTCCATTTAAAAAAACAGTAAGGGCTTGTTCTGAGAAATTCAGACAGAGTTACTTTAATAATAAACACACACCTTTGTGAAATATGTCACAGTAAGACGTCCCGTACATATAAGGAGACCTTCCAAAACAAGTTGAAGAAATAATCAAATAATCAACAAACTAAATATGCATTTGCATACAAAAAATTATGATTTTGAATACAAAAGGAGCAGTACAGTTTTATGTTGTCAATGCATTTTTCCTTAGGGCAAAACCCGAATTCCTTAAGAATAGATGAGACACGTGCAAGAACCTCCGCATGGGACACCTGAATGACATTTAAACCATTCTATCAGATTGAGAAAAAAAAAGGCAAAGATAGAATGCAACATAAAAGTGCCATACATTGTGGGAAAGAAATGACAAAAATAATGGTTTAGAGAAATTATACCAGATGAAATGAAAGGAGACATAACAGTTTGCAAGCACACTTGGTTCAAAAGTATGCATACAAACATATTCAAAATTAACTTATCTATTTGTCTCGGTTTACCTTAACTACATTCAGGATTAGAAACAAGATAGTACAACCAGATGGTTCAAAAGGTACAAAGCATGAACAGTTTTTGTAATTCAAATTGAATTTATAATTATATAAAAAAGTAAAAGCCCATTTTTGGCACTTGAAATTTCATCACAGTCCATTTGTCACCCTGAACTAAGAAACCAAGAAACTGCTTGTTTTTCATGCCAAACATACAAAAGCAGACAAATAACACAGTAAATTGGACAAAATGATAGTGGTTTCTCGCGAACATGAACTTCAATTAGGTAAGTTTCACACATAAGAAGAGTCTGCACTAGGGAAAATCACCACCATCCCAAACAAAACAAATTAAAATAGGTTCAGAGTGTTGTTTGTTCAACTGAAAAATTGAGGATAGAAAGCAAGTGCACCCCGCCCCCCAAAAAAAATGTGTGAGTTAAATCAAAACATCGCGAGGTGGCTCATATATATAGTCAGCGTAAGGCAATAACAAAATCTGCTAGTTGCCACCACGAACCAATAATTAACATGCAACTATTTCACTTTTCCTGTTTTGTGTTGTACACAAGGAGAAATAGCATGCAAGTATTCATGAAACATATGCAAAATTTGCATTGACCACCATCTGCTAATTAATCAGTTACCAAAATATATCAAAAAGTGTGGACATAGTTACACTGTATAAAAGGCTGTGCTGTGCTTACAACTAAAATTATAGAGGCTTGCTGTGTCTCTAATATTTGTTCATTATAAAAAAAAAGTGACATTCGCTATACAATATTTTTTTGTAAATAATGTTAACCAGTTTTTTAGTTAGTTGCAGCAAAAGCATAAACATCAGTTGCATAATATCCAATATAAGTTGGATTGAAATTGAAATGTAATATTACTTCCATATTCTAATAAATCACAAACACAACAAAATCATACGAATGCACAAAAATATTATTACTATTTGAGACCTGGCTTCCTAAATCAACTCCAGGACTCAGATATTAACATGCTGACAGTAATACCCTAAAGTTGTTTTGTCCTCTGGAACCTGGCTTCCCTATGAAGCTCGTTGTTATGAACTAAGTACATAATGCCATAAAGTGGGCCAATTGTAGGGGATCTGCACACTAGTTGTGTGCATGGAGAGAATTTCAGGGGGAGTTACCTGTTAAATACTCAAATAGCATGCCCCAAATAAATATTATCTAATCCCATCACTAATTCAAACCTATCTCAAATCAAGCAGAGGATAGATTAGGAAATTAAGTAATCTAATCTATTTTGAGGATAGCCACTACTACTGGAAATAACCCAATTAGGGTTCATTGGGAAGGCCACATCGCTAACACTAGAGCGTTCCAACTTTTCAGAGCAGCAGAGGCTCTTACATCACAGGCTTCATTGGGAAGCTTGATAAGTCACCCCACTCTAGTGATGGCTTTAACATAATGTTCAATTCACGATAGACAAAACATGACCGACTGTTCACTTAATTGTGGATATGCCACCCGATTCACACCATAGCAGTACAGGTAACGAGTAGCCCAAGAAACCAACAAATCCCTAAAATACCAGGGAATGGAATTTTGGAAGTACCTAGTAAAATACTAATCCTAATATGAAAACTTACAGTGAGGAAGATATCAGATGGCAATGTTAAAAAAAGGAAGTAATGTTACCTCTGAATGTGCTTGAATGTAGTTATCAAGAGCCTCACCAGCTAGCAAAATTATACTAAAAAGCTCGGATTTACAACTCAGAAGTGCTTCCCTTTCCTCCAGCTGCTTCTGCGCCTCTCCAGTATCACCTTTGGCACATCTTAGGGAATTAGCATACTCTTTAAATAAATGGTGCGTGATAATACAAAATCCATCAGGTTTGATCTTGCGAATATGTTTTTGAGCTGCCAGGAGTAAAACTGCGGTCTGTACAAGCTTGCCGTTCTTCATGTAATTCCAGAGCTCATCAACAAGATTATCTGTTTTCTCGGCAAGAAGTCTAATCGTATCCAAGAAAACCTTCTGCACAATAGAAAAGTGACTCTCTGCACTTATATGCAAGCTGGCAGCGGGAAATAACTTCCTATTACATCTAATTGAAGTAAGCATGAACTAGGAGCAATCTCAAAGCGGAACGTACTAAATCTTGTTAACTAGTGGAGCTGCTGATTTCTTGTCTCTATATATGAAATAAGAACATGCATGGCTTTGCACATGTGGGAAATTTTATAAGATGACACATGCATGAGAACTTTTTCTTGTCATGCTACAAAGATATATAGGAGTACTTGAATTAATTTGGAAAGAGATAAGTGAAACAAACCATCTCAGGTAGGCAGAGGAGATGAATGAGCTTGTAGATGTAATCCTCATGATACTGCATTGGAGTCGGAGATAGATTGTCCTCCAGATACTTGTGCATGCAAGCATTTTCAACCGCAACATCAAGCGGTAGTAGTCCCTGAATTCCGGCATCGCTGGCTGTGCGTACATTTGCTGAAGCACCATGGCGGAAGAGCAACTTGGTCATGTCAGCAGAGAACCGTTCAGCAGCTTCATGGAGTGCAAAATATCCATACGGATTCATGCAGTTTGGATTAGCGTGCTTACAACGGAGTTCTGCTGCCTTGCCCTCCAATACAACTTTTGCGCATCGCAAGGCATTATGCCTGACCATGTGGGTTAAGGTTTCTGAGGTGATGGCACACTGATACGTCATGATCGACTCACATTGCACAAACAAGGGGAGGAAGCACCGTACGCTATCCTTTTCCAATACAGTGGTCAAGCGGGGAGTAATATCAAAGAAGGCGTCTCGCCCGATCTAAAAGCAATCAGTATCCAATGTCATCAAAGCAAAAACAATAATAGTGCACTCTCATTGACAAACCATTTTGTTTCAGCGAAAATAACTTTCTTTTTTTTTTATAACAGAAGAGACAACTTAGCTAGGTAAACAAATTAAAATGCTGCAGGATTAGAAAAAATTACTAACATAACAGGATGATTTGGCAACTGAATTCTGCAAATGAAGATTAGAGAAAAACCTGAGGTACTGGGTCCGGGATGATTATATCATTTTTTAACCGCTTGGCGATCCAAGCAGTTTTTAGAGCTATCCACTGGATTTGGAAGAAACAATTAATTATTGTCAACAAGCAGAAGCAGGTACTTAATTAGTGCAGACAGAAACTGAGAGGAAGATCGATCAGCCACCATACCTCGTCGACCTTATCCCAATCAAATACATTGAGAACAAGAAAAGGGCGGGAAGGATCCATGTTATCTATGGTTGCTCCTTCTTCTAATCCTTTGCCATCAATTTCTCCACGGAAAGCATCTGGCAGTTCATATTCTGGAAGTTTCACAATTGATGGTTCGTCTGAAACAAGGAGGAATTATTGATCTCTAGTTACAGTCAAAACAACACTATAATTTTGTATTGTACGTAACAAGTCATACTCCATAATGTAAGACACGCTGATGGTAAACCATGACCATGAAGACAAAATATATGATGTTTAGGCTAGCAATTCCTATGAAAACATGACATTTTGAAATAAAGATGATCATTAAATATTATTATGGTTGGAATATATATATTTTTTATGATGAATCTATCAATATCTGTCTTATATATTGTTAATATGCGTAGTTCTTTATATATCGATTGATGCCTTGATGGATGGTCAAAGCTAAAACAAGAAAAAGGAAAAGAGAGAGAGAGAGAGAATAGTTTGTCCGATAGAAACACAGCAACAAGAGATATTATATTTTGAATCAGAGGGCGCACCCATCGCTGAAATTAAGGTACAACAATCAATCAATCTTATATTGGAAACAGAAGTGTAGAGAGTGAGGAGGTGGTGGCGCGGTAACAACAACTATATTCTAGAATTTATCTTATATATAGCTAGAGAAGCGAAGAAAACAAACAAATCAATCGGGCGCAAGAAAGAAATTAAGCTCAGTTTCAGAACATGAGGAACAGCTAAATTAAGCTCCAGATTTTTTTTAGGGATAAACGGCAGGAGCTCTGCCAATTTCATTATAAGAGAAGAAGACCGCTCTGTCAATTTTATTATAGGAGAAGAAGACCTTCTTCTCCTATTCTTCTTCTCCTATAATGAAATTGGCAGAGCTCCTGCCGTTTATCCCTCGAAAGGAATGATTCGAAAGGAATGATTTCGAAGATGAAACAGAAAATAATTAAATCACACACAAAGTAAATTGGATTGGATTGGATTGGATGGATGTATTACTTAGGGGCGTTCCCTTCAACATGATCGATAGATCGATCGGTCCCTCCTTGAAGAAGTTGATATGATAAAGAAAGCTTGGGCCTTTAATTCGTGAATGATGAATCAGTAGAATAATAATCACCAGATCTCGTCGCCACTCTCCAGGTGTTGAGGGCGTGATCTAGGACCTAAATAATACTGTAGGGGAAAGCGGGCGCAAGCAGGTCGCCCGACGGCGGCAAGGGGATTCGCGTAGCGACCTAGGGATAGGGTTAATTTGATTCAAGCCACTTTATATAATTATCAATACTATTCGTCTATTCGCAACTATGTCAAATACACAAAGAATTGGTTCCATGCCATGCCTTACTCTGCAGACCCGTTTTAACCAGTGTTGTGGATAACGGTTGGTACGGCCGTATATTCGGGCGTTAATACGTTGGCGCCGACCCCTCCGTCACGAATGAGCAAAACGCTGATCATTAATCATTTAAGGACGTATAATCACCGTCATTAGCGATTAATCGGCCGTTTCCGACTAATCAGCCGAATAAACGGGCCAAATCATGTGACAAGGCCAGAAGGCCCTGCCAGCCAGCCCATGATACTGCCCATTAGTTGTGTAACCTAGCAATATATAGCTACAGAACGTCGTTTTAGTGTCCTTATATAGTGTTACATGCTTTTGGTATTTCCTTTATGCATTACGAACCAAACCTATCACTATGTGTTCAGACATATATTTTACTATATGCCGAGTTAATGCCATGTTATCCTTATTTTTATTTAAGAATAGTAGGTATATATATGTAGTTATATGCATTTATCTATCAAAAATAATAAGCTATTATGAGTTATGTACATATATTTGTCCAAAACTTTAAATTTCCGTCAAATTCTGATTATTCGCCCGTACTCCGATTATTCGTTTAGCGGAACCATCTCGGTCCGACATCCGTATTCCGTCATCCACAACACTGGTTTTAACACATTTACTTTGTATACTGTGTTTTTGTATGATCAAAATTGCCCATATCCTATCTTCTTCCCCAGCTATATAACCTCTCCTTCTTCTTCCCAACCGATGAGGATTGTGCGAGGATGATGGAGCGGGGGCTTGAGGGCCAGTGAGGACGGGGCGGGTGGTTTCCTCTTCTCACTCTTTCAACACCGGCGACCCATTCCCGTGAGGAATCGGCGAATTCATGTGTCTCCATCGGTTGAGGAGTGCCCAAGCTGCTCCTGGCCTCACAGGCATCATGGAAGAGCAGATGGACAACAGGGAAGGGGATACCATGGCTGCCTCACTCTCTCGCCACCCTAAACCCTAAACCCTATATTAAGGTTTAGTTTCGCTACTTTGCCGTATAATCTCGTGATCGGTTAGATCACCGGTTTGCTCGCTACGAAGCCCCAATTTATCATTTGTATTCCATTCCTATCTGCAGTTCAGATTGCTTTCATCTTGTTTTTGCTTGTTTCTTCGATTTATTTGCAGAAATAAGATTGATCTGCACCGGCAAGATCAACAACCCACGGAGGGATATATCGATCGTTAAGTTGCAACACAACAACATCTAGTACAATTGTAGTCAGGTCATCAACGTTTCTCCCATATCGTAGTTATTATCAACTCACCGAAAGATCAGGCCAAACAACAGCCTTGTCTCGAGTGGAACTCAGGGTTCATCAAGTGGTACCAGAGCTTTCGTTACTCAGTGAGTTTTATATACCCATAACCAGAAAATTGCCGGACAAAAAAAATTGTATCCTCTACCTAGCCATATTGTGCCATTGCATTGTTCTTTTTAGTTTTTGCTTTGTTAAGTTTTTGTTGCATCGTCACGTCGATTTGCTGGTTTGTTTAGAGTTTTAAGTTCTAGTCACGTTTACTACCACTGTCGTCACCATCACCGTATCTTTGTCATCGGGACAAAAAAAGAAATCGGCTTGCTGCCACGGTTCTATTTTTGTTGATTCTAGAAGTTTCTATCGGTCAGTTTTAGAGTTACATCTAGGTTTTGCTCGAGTTTGTGGTTTGCCGTGCTTGTGACCTGCGCGAGAGGAGGGATCTGGAATCGGTTTTTTTGGAAGTATGCAAGATTGATCAGAAAAGAAACAGTAGATTGGATTGATTGAAAAATCAATTTCCTTTTTTTCTCACACCAAATCCCAATTCCTTGGTGGTGCCGTATCCTTCCATTGCCCACCCACCACCACCGCTACAGGTCGAGTCCGACTCCCAGCTCTCCTCTCCGTTTTCAATCCACCATGACTTCCCAGTTCCCATACAGTTTGTTGAAAATTTTTGGAGTGTCGGATTAGAGATCTGTTTGCAAAAACGGAACTTTCGTGACAAGAGCATTCCATTTTTTATAATTTTAATTTTGGGTTTGGACTTTGACACTTGAGTTCCTGTAATTTTTATATTTACATTTGAGTCCCTATAATCTTGCATCCAGGTCCTTGAGTCGATTTTGTTAAAAAAATCAAAAAAAGGAGAGAAAGAAGGCAGAAAGGTGCATAAAAAAAAGAAAAGCCGCACCAAAAAAAGAAAAGAAAGAAAGAAAAGGAAAAAATGAAAGAAAGAAGGAAAAGAAAAAAATCAGTTGTATCTTTGAGTTCGCTTTCATATATCAGAGTGTGCTTGAGTTATTTCTATTGTTATCTTGTGGTATCGTTTGTGTCTAAGCTCCTATCTCTAGTATGTTCTAGCCTAGGACCAGCACTGTACTTGACTTTGAACGATTATTCAACTTTGCATTCTGATTTGAGCATTTTCTATTCCTTTGCTACATACTTAAGCCTACCCAGAGCTCTACAGACTTGATTGAAGCCGTACAACAAGTGTTTGTCAAGGCATCGATACATCCAACCTCTATTTGGGTGCTTGGTTGAGTCGATGTATGTCACAATTCCGCTTGTATTGGTAAGAACTTGTAAGAGCTCGGTGAAAGCTTTGAGTGTGTGTGATATTTGAGCTACCACTACCTAGTTGTTAATAGGAACGTACATATTTTTGTGTATGTTTCTTGTTTTCTACTAACAATGGCAGGGATATGCAAGACCATTATAGATCACCTAGCTCGACATCGACATCTTCGTCGAGACATGAAGAGTGATCAACATGATTCTAATGAGGTACGTGATGACGTTCTAACTAAGATCAAATTTGCACTACCTTATTTCAAAGGAAATTATGATCCTCATGCTTACATTTATTGGGAGCTAGCGGTTGGCAGAGAATTTAAAAAGCATGGTTTAGCTGAGAAACAAAAGGTTATGTGTGCCTCAAGTGTTTTAATTAATCAAGCTTCTAATGATTGGAAATATCTTTGTAGGCATAACAAAATACCACAATCTTGGAAAGAGCTGAAACAATATATGAGAGATGTTTATGTTCCCATGTATTATGCTGATATTCTGCTCAACAAACTACAATGTTTAAAACAAGATAACAGAACCGTTACTTCATACTATCATGATATGCATGCTTGTTCATTACGTTGTGGTTTAGATGACAGAATTGAGGTTTTTACGTGGGCTTAACAAAGAAATTCGGGACATGCTTGCTTATCAAAGATATAGATCTCTTTCTTATTTGTTACAACTTGCTTGCAATGCTGAAAGTAAAATAGAGTAGGA